GCCCGGATGTAGAATGGCTTCATATGTTAAACGAGGTGTATGTAAGGTGGAACAAAGGTGAATCGGTATTTGCAATACCCGCGGAAAGAACAAAGGATTTGCAATGGACGGTATGCGTTAAATGCTTAAATTCTTTGGATTCCTCATTGATAACTCACCGACAAACTGTCATTCGATTCTAGTTCAATCAAAGCACGATAACTCTCGGTGAGATATCAGACGTCAGACGTCTTGCGTCAAACATCGATAAAATTGAACTTCCTGATCGTTTTGCTTCTATTCTGGTGGAAAATCGGATTCTGCAACATATGTTTATATGCGATCCACAGAGTACGTGAAAATCGTTGTCACATTCTCTATGATCTCGTAAATTTCTTACTTTTGCTGCCTCCCCCAGGGGTAATGGTCGCTCGAGTCGATTATTGGATCGATCAATGCCTTATGGATCTCGTACATTGTGGTGATAATGCAACATCAAAGTCAAGACTAGGAAATTTTTTCTTAAAATTGGTTACAATGACTGAATTCCTGAAGGTAAACGATCCATACGCCCTTTTTATAATTTCGATATAATATACTGCATATTTATATATGGTTTCATGGATCTCACTTTCTTAATTACTCTCTGTTTCGGAGGAACTGGTCCCGGCTGTTCATGAATTCTTGACTAAATATATTCATTCGTGGAATGGTTTAGAACATCAAGAGCAAATTTTTAAACTGTTAACTTTTCTTAGGCCTGGAACTTTTGATCGTACGTCTCTACTCTACTGTGTTGAGTTGGTCATTTTTCTTTAAATGAAATGCTATTTTCTCTTTGCTCTTTTTTCCATTAGAGATTTATACTGGTTTTTTGGAACCGCTGAATAAGCTATTCGTTGTTTCCACGGCCAGCTGGAAGGTATGAATTATAAGAGAAAAATACGTTACGCGTTTAGTCTAACCTAATTCGACAGGATGGATGTCTCATTGCAGGCCAAGTTAATACATTGTTACACTGATTTGTTAAAATACTGGATTTTACTCCATGTGACAAGACAAAACGATATGGAAAAACAAAATCTTAACGGGTAAGAGACAAAAGTCATCGAGGGAATATGTATATGTTACGTAAATATATACGTTCGCTCAAGGTAAACCTTCTTTCGTAGGAACATTTCGCCTATCAATACTGTGACCATCCACAATTTTATTGACTATATCAATGAAAATGCTCAAAATGCCCTTGAAGTAACTACATGATTTTCTATTCGATTTTCAAGTCACATCATAAATAAGTTCTAAACATGTGCATAACAGATCGAAAATGATCACATAGAGATACAACACGCGGTACTTTCTTTCGTCGAGACCATAACATTTTTGCAGATCAAACACGAGTGGGACAAAATATTCATTCCTTCCTCTTCAATCGTGTATCGATCGTTTTTTTCATCCTCCGGAATGGCCCTATCAAGAATTTGCGGAATCATATTAAAGTAATTCGAATGCGTCCTCGGCGTGCATATATTTTGTGGGAATTAATTTCGTTGTTAATCCAATCATTTTGCATTTAATAGACTTAAAGAAGGCTTCGATAGATGTGCCGGAGTACGGCAAAATACTCAGGACCATATCAATTATTTCAATTCATATGTCATGGATATATGCAACTGTCTGTGGAGAAACCGTCCCTTCAATAAGACTGATAAGAATGCAAAGGGTTTTCAATTTGATGAGTGAGTTTTTACATTCACTACTGTCACATTTCTCATCTATTCAGACCCTGACGATCTCTATCGTTAATTCCAAGTGATGTGATCGACCAAATGCAAAAGATGTGCGGCGAAGATTACTCCAACTTTTTTTCGTTAACCCATTTACCATCCCTCGCCATGATGTCCAAAAATTGTATCCAGGTATCATATTATTGCATTGTGCTTTCTTGAAATAAGGGATCTAAGTTAACGTCCTTCTACTGGTCAAAGGCATTAGAAGATTCTACGCCTTATGTCTTAAAAAGACTTTCAAAACCTGTGACACATGCGTCGCTCAGACAAGGAAGAAGCGTAAGCATTTGAGAAAATTATATCGTTTCTGCAATTCGCGAAACTAACACTCGATGAATGTGTTAGGCGGGTGGGATCGACATTTCGTACAACAACTTCCGCGTTCACTTTTTAGATGAACTCTTGGGACGTGGATACATTGGCCTATATACTTTCTTGTGCCAGTCCATAACGCAATTAAAAGATAGGTCAAGTTTCGGACGAGACAACGTCTTGCGATCAAGCGTTTCTTAATAGAAGTGTTTTCTTTTTTTTTTTCTCAACATGGTTACACTTGAATATTTCCAGACTCTTCGATTTATAAATATTTTGAAAGTCTTGAAAGATGATAATTGACTGTACTTGATTTCTTTTTTTGTGATTTCTTTTAAAGCACCACTATCGTTAGTGTGCATGGTAAACATCGAACAGCATTAGGATATCAAAAAGATACAAACCATATTGCGCATACAATCGGTAAGGGCCTGAATAACTTGTTGACAAGAAGACGATTCCACTGAGCTATTCGACCAGCAATTTAAAACAGCCGCGATCTCGGGAGTGCAAGAGCCGATATTTTGAATTTTCCTCGGTCGAACTTGAAGTTTCTTGATATTCATCTTGAAAAGAAAAAAAAAAACTATAAAAACGATTCCTAGGTTTATCCTGCAGTTCAGCATAGATGTCAACCAATCAAATTTTTTAATAAAAAAACTTTTTTTATTATTTAATGGCAAAGATTAATTAAGATTAAACACAAAATAATAATAAATTAAACTTTAACGTTTATTTTGCAAATAAAAATTAAACTTTATTTCTCGGTTCACTTTGGACTCTAGAAGATAAAATTAAACTCTACATACCGTATTTTGTAAACTCGCTACTAAAGAGTTTCCTTATTTAAGAGAAATCGGTCTAAAGCGATCTTATCATGCCCACATAAGGAGCATCACATACATAATACAGTATCTAACTCATGAAAAATGATTAAATGTCAGCCTAATAGCCATAACTACTTCTTTTCTTTGTATATCATGCAATGTTTGCAATGTTGACGTTACGGTTTCAATCTCTTATGATGCGAAACAAACTATAGGCAAATGCAATCTATAATTGGTTCGGTCTTAGTTCATCTATCTCATCAGTGAGCAAAAAAGGTAATCCTTTTTTTTTTTTCTTTGTACCATTATTCCATGCGTTTTTTTTTTTTTTAGGTTGGCGAATCAAACTTGCCTATTTGGTTTTTTTAATTTCCCTACTAATCTAATCACGTGATTTAATATCGATTTTATATATCCACCGTTGATCTACCAAACTGATCATCATCATCACTCGAATTTTCTTTCTTCAAACCTATTCACACATTCTTTGTTAAGTGGTGCTGAATAATGGAATTGAAGAAGTCAATCTTTATTGGAATGTGTGTTCTTGGTGGGATTGGAGTTGGTTATGCCGTATACTGGGACTATATGCGACGGACCAACCCCGAATTTAGAAAGAAGTTGAGAAAGTGTCAATTTCCTCCTATTCTTATATGCCTTGATATTTTCGACTGGTTTTAATTAGCAATCTCATTAAATTATACAGGAAAAAGTAAAAAGCGGGCAGCAAAACTTAAGAAGGCGGCGGTAGAAGGTGCTAAAGTGAAGGTAGCCGATTTTGTGAGAAAGGCCGTCGAAGATGTCGCGAAAGAAACTTTTCCCGCTGATGTTAGTGCCAAAGAAAAATATTTCATGGAACAAGTAGCCAAGGGCGAAAGTTTATTTGGCAGTGGTGAGTGCGGACTAAAAAAAATTCCTTTTGTTATTAAACAAATAAATTCATTTATTTATTTATTTGTTTGTTTGTTTCGCTTTTACAACTAAAGGAGAAGATCATTATCTCGATGCCGCTCTCTGCTTTTATAAAGCATTGAAGGTATATCCAAACCCTGTTGAATTAATCATGATCTATCAAAAAACAATCCCCGAAGCAGTATTCACTTGTGTTTACGAAATGATGAGCCTCGAGGTATGCATGTCATAAATCATTGTATGACTACTTTTTAATGTTTAGAAAAAATAAATGCCTTATCTGAATTTGCAGGTAAAAAAGAAACAAGCAGAATACTTTGAAAACTTTCCACCTAAAGATATGAACGTTAGGATAAAAGAGATTAGTCAGGGTTCTTCGGATGAAAATGTTCGTCGTGGGCTCTTTGCCGCAAAGGACTTTTCTCCGGGTGACGTTATCTTTAAGGAAAATCCAATTGCGTCAGCTCTTGACCCAAGTCTTGAGGTAGGATCGCAAAGCTTACATATCATTTCTTTTATTCGTGAAAAGAAATTGTTCTTTATATTGCTGGTCAATTTTTATTTTGTAGACTGGCGATTATTGTAGTTACTGTCTCAAAGAGCTTGTCAGCGGATCAGTCCATGATGATTCTGATCTCTTTGAAGCTGTTTATTGTTCCAAGAATTGTCAAGAAAAGGCAATGAACGAATACGCTGCACTTCTTTTTACCAGTAATGAACCATCCGATCCTGAGAGTAAAGAAGCTCGATTGGTTGGATTGGTTAAATCAGGAAATGTCAAATTCCCTCTGATGATCGCGAGATTTCTAGCAAAGATGGTTCATGAGGAAACGCAAAAAGTCGCCACGGGGGTTGATGAAGAATACTCTACTTGGGATCATATCGAACGGCTACGTTTCTTGAGCGTACCTCCTTCAGAAAAAGAGGCTAAGGAGATTAAACTCTTGAGGGAATTGTTCGCAGCAAAGGTCCCTGGTATGGAAGAATTCATTTCTGAGGAAAGATATTTAATGCTGAAAGGAAAGCTTATGTATAATGCATACGGCATAAACACTTCTCGCGACAACGAAAGGAACATAAGAGAGGTAACTTGACCGATTTTTTTTTTCTTTCTAGAATTTTGACAACATTTCTTGAATCGTTTAACATTCTCTCTCTTTTTCGTAGAATACCGAAGAAACCATTCGCTCCAGTAAATCACCAGTAATTGGTGCAGGCTTCTATCGTGTTGCCTCTTATATAACCCATTCGTGTGATCCTAATACGGAGACCAAATTCCCAAGTAAAAATTATGAATTATCAATTGTGGCCACAAAACACATCAAAGCTGGCGATGAATTGAAAATTAGCTATATCAGGACTGGGAATAGAGATTTAAAGAGTAGAAGAGATGAATTAGAGGCAAAATGGAGATTCAGCTGCGAATGCACCAAGTGTCGATTGGAATCTGGTGATTGCGAAACCGCTGTATGATGATTATATTGACACACACAACTTTCTCCCATAAATTACATCCAAAAATCATGCTTTTTTATTCACGACAACTTATTTGTATATTGTTATAACAATAACAGTGATGAGCGTGGAACAATGCATATAATGTACAGCCACACATATCTCTTTCATTTTTTTGTGCATATTTCTAGTGCCGTACAGATAATAGGCAACACATCCTCTGAAAACATTATATCAGAGCTCTCTAATTCTGCCATTCTTTTCCAAAATGGAATCGGTTCAATGAACTTACAAATGTTTGCTATCTATGATCGTTACTTATGAAATTTTATATAGTAAATGATCTGAGCAGTCAGAGAGAGCAATGATAAGAATAAAAAAAAAAAAAAAATTTTTTTTTTATCAAGAAATTAGGATTACAAAAAAAAAAAAAACTATTATTTTCCAATATTTATTCTTGACATTCTTTTTTTTTTTTATTATATCAAAAATGTGATGCCAGTCAACTATTGATTTGCTCTAATTCAATTCCTCCGCGTCGAACCCATCAACCATTAACTTCTGTTTAGGCACTTCGACTTTATTAACTTTTTCATTATGTTTTTGAGAATTGTTGCTGATATACTGAAGATATTCTTCATAAGTTATACTATGCTTGGCGCTCTGATAACGTGTGAGAACGATACGATTACGAATTTTATCAGTAATTCTACCGTTGTATCCGCTTTTTCGGAGAAGAGAATCAATGGTTTCTTCCTTGGTCCAACCTGTCCATTTTTATTCAAATACCATAAACGGTACGCAAATGTTATTAAAATTATATTTGATCAGCAACATACCTTGCTCCTCTGCAACCTCCGGCAAGTACGTAGCAGTTTTACGACGATTGTGGTCGTCAACATATTCAATCCAGATACCGTGAACACCGATCTAAACGAAAGTCTACGTTAATCAGGGAATCATAGAAAGTGTGCTCTCGCGTTAAATGTATTACCTCCCAATCAAGATAGTCTTCTGCTTCTTCGAAGTTCGTTAGGAGGGAAACACTATGAAAGATTTAATTCGATTGGCATGGATCTTTTTTATTGTGTAAAAAAAAGAGAAACACGAAACAAAATTTCTATAAACCTGCAAGTTAGTTGGGACAACTCTCGGATAGTAATGGGAGAGAATCTTCTATCGTGCATGGCACTAAAAAAATTATATAACAGAGTTCCAATTGTGTGATGTAATTAATTATTAAAGATCCTAAAAACAAATTACAAGTAAATACCAAGTGTCTGCCTTTCAGCAAGACATTCGATCCATAAAGTTGCTATATATTTGGTGCATTCAGCGCGCTGAACACACGTACAACAATCAATCCTTATCGTATTTGTGGTGGATTACCTAGTAATGGCGTATTCTTTGAGGCCGGAATGAAGAGAAAGGGCATCGAAGTTTCCTATGCACCCACGAAGACGAGTTTGACCATGGTGTACAATATTCCAAGTTACAAAAAGTGGACTTTAAAAAATCATAAGACTGAAAAACATTTCGGACAAAGGCACTACTGACATGAAAGGAAACACATACTACTGATCATTCTCGAATTCCGGTTCTATATGCTCTCTTTCTTCGAGACTGGCGGCAAGTACGTCGAAACAATAAACACAATGCACAATGCCAGCAACCATTTTTTTTCAAAATGTTTCCTATACCTAATCAAATAATATCTTTAAGACACCGGGTTATTACAAATGGAATTACGTAATTCCACGTTTTATAATTCACATGTTTCACAATTTTCCATTTTTATCAAGCACGTGATATTACGTATTACGTAGCGTGTACAGTTTATTCATTTAACAAATTTAACTAAAAAAGTCCTTTATACAATTCTACCAAGATTAAAAATAAAAAAAATATTATTATATAAGTATTATCATTTTTTTTTGAAAAATTAAAAAAAGATAAATATATATTTTTAAATGTTAAGTGAGATTTTTTATTAAATTAAAAAAAAAAATTATATGTTTTATATAAAATTAAATTTTTAGAATAAAATATAGTATAGTATATATTGACTTGTCACAAATGAAGAGACAACGCCTACAGAATCCAGAAGTGAAACAGAGGAGACTCCGCCTGACAATGCCAAGCCACCCAGACAACCCAGACAGTCACTAGGCCCACCCACAAACTGGTATATCCAATATGACCACTTTTGCTACAAAACAGGTCATTTAGACAAAACACCTAATAGGCTCCATGGAGCAAAAACTCAAGGCAGTTAAAGAAGCAGTCGCCCACCTGAACTCCTATATAGGTGCCCAGATGGTATAGCAACAGGTGATAAAATTGATCATTACCTCTTTTACCAACCAAAAAGATATATAAAAAGCATGCAAAATGATAATCTAGCAAGGTAATGATCACTACATGATAATCCTAGTCGACTTTGATCTGGCAGCAGCCAAAAGCAAATCTATTCACATTTGGAATATTCCTTTGGATACCAATCAACAAGAAATTAAATAGAAACTGGTCCAATTCAAGCAAATCTGTAGCTTAAAAATAAGTACCACAGGCATGTAGCAAAATGCACTAGTTGAATTTGAAGAACAAGAAGACTATAACAAAATCATAAAAAAATGAAATATTTCTTTTAAAGGAGAACTTTTGAAAATTTATCCACTCCTCAAAATCCATGAAACCAAGCTACTTTGAGACAGATACATCCTCAGACTTACAAACTTGCCACCAGGTATCACTGGATATGACTTGTGTAAAATAATTAATAACACTAAGGCAACATCATGTTACATCTCCCAGAACTAAAACTACACAAGAAAATGATTTGCTATTCTCAACTTTGTAATACTGAAAGAGAAAGAAAAAGCCAAAAAAAAAAAGGCATATCTAGACAAAACAGTATTACAATAACATAAGATGAATAAGAAACTTTATGCAATCTGCAACTCACCTGACCACCTGGTAGCACAATGCACAATCAAGGTCAAGCATCAAGAAAAACAACAAGCACTTAGAGAAAAAGCAAAAAAATACAAGATACTTTATCAACATTTCAAATCTAAAGGAACAATACAAATCAGGAAAATTGCAAACCAGCAAGCCAATAATACAGGAAACCATGATCGATTTAGAGCTCAGAAACAATTTAACAAGACCACCAGCTGGTTTTCAGACAAAGGATCATTCGCATATATTGCCAAACAACTTCCCAACAAATCATCAAACCTAACAGCAGGAAACCTAGCAGCAATAATCAATCTTCAGTCATCACTAACAAAAGTCCTCAAGGCAGTTCAAACAATAAAAGCAGAGCTGAAACAAATTAAAGAAACAATCACTGACCTTAATAACAGAATCGAGAATCTGGAAGACTTTGCATACTTTTATATAGTAGACAATGAAGAACAGATGGAAACAACTATCAACACAGGCAAAGAATATCTAAATCAAAACCCATTATGGTTAGAGACCCCAAAATCTAGAGATTTTAACTACCAATAGAAAAGACAAGTAACAAGTTCAGCAGTAGACAACTCAGACATTAGGGAATAACAACTCAACCTCAATACAAGGATTACAAGCATCGACAATACCATTCAAGATGTAGTAGGCACACTCAACCAACTTATTAATATCACAACAAATACAAATTCCCAATTCAACAACCTAGATAAGTAACAAAATTAGATCCAACAAGAAACAATCCAAGAAGCCAACATTTATACATACTGGAAACAATCCATTTGACAATAACCCATCCCTTCACCAACAGACTATCACATTATGAAAAATTCTAACACACAACATCAGAGATCTTAATAATCCTACCAAACAACAAACAATACTTACATACTGCACTCTTAGAGATATAGACATCATCCTTCTCACAGAGACACAAATACAGAATAAGAATCACAAATACTGGAAACATTCAACATACAATATAACCTGGAGCAATAACAACAAAAGAGCCAGAGTCACACTCCTAATCAAAAAAGACATTGATAAACACATAGGAAAAATCATAAAATATTTAGGAAGAGTAATAAGCATTGACTTGCAATTCAAGAGAAAAGAACACATTGGCATCATAGGAGTATATATACTAGCAGGAGATGGCCAAGAGAAGAAAAAAGTAAATAAATAAATAGAAGATAAAATCCTAAAGAGACATGGAAAGAATTGGAAAATGATCATCCTAGGAGATTTCAATTCAATAACAAATCCACAAATAGATCAACAATCAATAATCAGCAGAAAACATAACTTCCAACTCCCCACTTCAACAGCACTCCAGGCTCTACAAAACCTGAACTATACTAATTGCTACAGGACCCTCAATCCATTCAATCCAGGATTTACCTAAAAGAACTCCAGAAATGTGGCATCGAGACTAGATTATATTTGATATCTGATCACAATGATTGGTATTCAACAGAAGCAAAAATCAGTTCAGGAGTTATGATAACAAACAGTGATCATGCTATTGTTCAAACAATTATTGCCATTCCAAACCTTTTTGAAATTCTAAAAACAGTAACAAACAAACAAAAAGAAATCAGATACAACTTTCAAAAGGAACTTATCAAACTTTTCTACATCAAGATGAACACATGAATCCAAATAGTATCTTTCCTAACAAGCTTTGGAATAAGACATGGGCAGCTATCAACAAAGCCAGATCCAATTACCTTCCCAAAATAAAGACCAGAAGAAACAGGAGGAATACCACAACCAACAAGGAACTGGGTCCAATAGAAAAAAAAACAATCAAAATCAGAAAACTATATAGCAAGGAAAAACAATACTTCAAATATAATATCAGACTCCACAAATGGTAGCAAGTATAAGCAAATTGATTTAAATAATTAATTGCACAATAGCCACTATTTAAAAATCACTATGGCAAGAAACAAACCATCAAATACCAATGGCAAAGACATGGCTCGAAGAAGTCAAGCTGCTCTGTTAACAACATATAAAAGCCTCAAGATATTGACAAACCAAAAAATTCAAAAGAAAATACAAAAGAATATGAAAAAAAGACTCTTATATCTTTCAACAAACAAAAAACAAATAATTTGCTCATTCCTTTAAAAAGAGAACAATAGCATCCTGTTTGAGAAAATAATTATCCAGGAGGATTCTCCCTTAGTAATAACAGATCCTGAAGAGATCAAGCAAGAGATAACAAGACACTTCAAACAACTCCTGGACAATATACTGCCCACAGAAAAAAATCTAAACAAATGGAGATAGGACTTCCTTTCAAAAGTGAAGATTTTGGACAGTTGATATAACACATGTATCCAAGAGATCTTTTTTACAGAAGTAAAAGAAGTAATCAAAAAAGCCAAAATGGAATCAGCACCCAGAAAATCCCAGATAAACTATGTAACACTTAAATACATTGGCCTCACAGGTCTCACCAGGCTAACAATACTCTTCAACCAAATCCTTCAGACAGAAGAAATTCCAAAAAAATAATAACACAACCTTATTTATTCAATTTCAAAAACCTCAAACTAGCAGTATAACCTCAACTCGACCAGATCCATAGCACTGTTAAAGTGAAAAATAAACTATATAAATAAGGAGAAAAATAAAAGTAAAATGAAGTAGAATATAAAAAGTAATA